TTTCCGCGGTTGAGTTCAGGTACGCCGCTGCCGAGCCTCCAACGACCATGAGACAAGACGTGAAAGGTTATAAAGATGACGGGCGCCCGCTTTCGCTGCTGGGGCACTGACCGGACCCTCTTTGCAAGCCTCATTCTACTCTACTATTCTTACTCCCGCATCTTATCTTGATATCGGCAGACCAGGGTGTTGCTGTTGCACCGCCAGGTACCTCGAAGATTGCAGCGTCGTACTAGCAGGGTCGCTGTCACTCACGTCTTGACTGGCATCGGATGCATTAGACGGGTATACGGACTACTGCACATCTACCTGTACACAAACTGCCATCCCGATTCCCCAGGGCAGGATACAGAAGAGCGGTGGATCATCTGTCCAATTGCCTGTACCATCGTTATCCGAAGCGGTGATCGACGGCTGCGGCTCGTTGGTTGTACTAGGAGGTAAGCTAGCGTTCCTGCGTCATGGCAATTACGATGCCCGAAATAGCGGTGCATCGTATTTGTCGGATGCACTGAATCGTCGACTAACGAGCCCTTCTTTTAGTGTTTTGCGAGCTCAAGGCTTGGGTTCTGCCCCTCTATCATCAAGGGCCCCACTATTGCCCGATCGTCCAAACTTCGTGCGCTTTATCATCACGCCTGACGCGTCTCACCGAGCACGCAATTCAAATAGCATTGTCTCAATCGCTATAACAGCACCTCGCTGAAGACCACACACCCCAACTGCACACGCCCAGCATGGCTTCCACACCGATTGAAGCCGTCAATGGCCTCGCACCCCAGCACAAGCAGCTCGAGCAGCTTCTCCATACTCCAGACCGCCGACCCTCACCTCTTCCCACACATTTGAGCGCCCCGGGCTCAGGAAGCTCAACACCTCGAACAATCCCACAGGAAGGCTCGGGCGGCTCCGGATATGTTGCACCCGTGTTCGAGGGCAAGGCCCAGCAGATGGAGGCCGTTATGGACGGCGTTGAGGAGAAGGGCTTCATGCCTCCAGAGCTCGTAGAGTCAGAAACCAAGTGGTTCTACAACGAGCTGGGCATTGACGACATGTACTTTGCCACCGAGACGGTAGAAGCGTAAGAGTGGCTTTCAATCTTCCCGGAACTACACTAACAGAGGTTACAGAATCATCAGCCACATCCACTCGCTCTACGCCGCGAAGGTTGCCGCATACGCCAGAGACGACAAGCGCCTCGAGATCCGGCTCGACAAGGAAGCCGCGGATCACGCTGTATACATCGATACCAGCAGACCCGGTGTGTCCGTCATTGACGGTCCTCAGTACGAGCAGCGTCTGGGCAAGAAGTACTTGGCTGTATCCAAGCCTGGCCTCGCATACCGCGTAGAGAGCTTCCGCTCGGAGAGCCCGCTGCCTGGAAGCGACGACCAGCAATTGCGATGCTACTTCGTCTACCAGTGCGACTTTGTCGACCCCAACCCCAGCGAGACAGAGACCAACATTGAGAAGATTGGTGACAAGCGTTTCCTGCAGAAGGCGACTGAAAACACAAAGGTCATCTACCAGCAGATTCTCCAAGTCGCTGTAGAGCGTACTGGTCCCGTCATTGACCATTTCGACATCGAAGGTTCAAGAGACAAGCGCCTAGTCGTCGGCTTCAAGCGCGGAAGTGCATTGGGTCTTTTCAGTGCCTTGAGCGACTTGTACCATTACTACGGCCTGACTACCTCGCGAAAGTATGTCGAGCAGTTCTCCAACGGCTACACTGTCATGTCTCTCTACTTGCGCCCGCTTCCAGGAGCTGCCGGTGCCAAGCACCCACCGATTGAAGCCTCGATCCACCAGATCACCAAGGAGGTTTCGTTGCTCTACTGTCTTCCGCAGAACAAGTTCCAGACGCTCTTTGCTACGAGCAGACTGAGTCTACAAGAGACCATCTACGCACACTGCGTCTGGGTCTTCATTACCCACTTCCTCAACCGACTTGGAAGCGAATACACTGCTCTGTCGGCTATTCTGGACCCAGAGAACAGTGTACATGCCGAGTTGCTATCTAAGCTGAAGCGCCGGCTACGTGCCGAGACCTTTACCGCGGACTACATTTACGAGATCATCATGACCTACCCGGAACTGGTTCACACCTTGTATCTGCCATTCGCTAAGACTCACTACGTCCAGACTCGGGGTCAAGAGGATGACTTCCTACCAACTCTGAGTTATCTCCGCCTCCAGGTCGACAAGGTCCAAACAGATGCGGAACTGACCGACACCATTAACAAGGCTGTTGTCAACGACCACCACGAGATGGTGATGACTGCTTTCCGTGTCTTCAACCAGTCAGTGCTGAAGACCAACTTCTACACTCCCACCAAGGTCGCCATCAGCTTCCGCCTAAATCCCAACTTCCTACCCTCCACAGAATACCCCCAGCCGCTGTACGGAATGTTCCTCGTCATTGGCTCAGAGTTCCGTGGTTTCCATCTTCGCTTCCGCGACATTGCCCGTGGTGGCATTCGTATCGTCAAATCTAGGAGTCAGGAGGCATACTCCATCAACGCGCGCTCCATGTTTGACGAGAACTACAACCTCGCAAACACGCAGCAACGTAAGAACAAGGACATCCCAGAGGGTGGCTCCAAGGGTGTCGTTCTCCTTGACTTCAAGCACCAGGACAAGGCCCGGGGCGCTTTTGAGAAGTACATCGACAGTATCCTCGATCTTCTCCTGCCTCCTACCAGTCCTGGTATCAAGGATCCTATTGTCGATCTCCACGGCAAGGAGGAGATCCTCTTCATGGGTCCCGACGAGAACACTGCTGATCTCGTCGACTGGGCTACTGAGCATGCGCGTGCTCGTGGTGCGCCATGGTGGAAATCTTTCTTCACTGGAAAGAGCCCCAAGTTGGGTGGTATCCCTCACGACCGATACGGCATGACAACTCTGTCTGTCCGCGAGTACGTCTTGGGTATCTACCGCAAGCTTAACCTCGACCCCAGCAAGGTCCGCAAGCTGCAGACAGGTGGCCCCGATGGTGATCTTGGCTCGAACGAGATTCTGCTCAGTAATGAGAAGTACGTTGCTATCGTTGACGGTTCCGGTGTCTTGGTCGACAACAACGGAATCAACCACGAGGAGCTGGTACGTCTAGCCAGGGAGCGCAAGATGATTAACCACTTCGATGCTTCGAAGCTTTCGTCAGAAGGCTACCGTATTCTGGTCGACGACACCAACAAGCGACTACCGAACGGAGACCTCGTGTACAACGGCACAACCTTCCGAAACACGTTCCATCTTCGCAGCGACATGCACTACGACTCCTTTGTTCCATGTGGTGGCCGACCTGAGTCCATCGATCTGTCAACCGCCAACAAGCTCATTGTCGACGGCAAGTCGGTGATCCCTTACATTGTGGAGGGTGCAAACCTGTTCATCACCCAAGACGCTAAGCTTCGCCTTGAGAAGGCTGGCTGCATTCTGTACAAGGATGCTTCAGCCAACAAGGGTGGTGTTACTTCTTCCTCGCTCGAGGTCCTTGCATCGCTGGCATTCGACGACGAGAGCTTCCTTAAGCATATGTGCGTCGGTGAAGATGGCCAGGCACCGGAGTTCTACAACAACTACGTTCGGGAAGTGCAGAAGACTATCCAGAACAACGCGCGTCTTGAGTTCGAGGCCATTTGGAGGGAACACCAGGAGACTGGTCAGCCTCGCAGCATTCTCAGCGACACCCTCAGTACCGCGATCACAAAGCTCGATGAGGAGTTACAGAACACCGAGCTGTGGAAGGACGTTAAGTTCCGGGAATCGATTCTCAAGGAGGCGTTGCCGAACATCCTACTCGAGAAGATCGGCCTCGATAAGATTATCAAGAGAGTAAGTTACAACCAATACTGCGCAGTTGAAGCATGGACTAACAGGCATACAGGTACCCGACAACTATCTACGTGCTATTTTCGGAAGTTACCTCGCCAGCCGCTTCGTTTACGAGTACGGTGTATCAGCCAGTCAATTCTCTTTCTTCGATTTCATGAGCAAGCGCATGGCAAAGGGTAGCAACTCAGCTACTCGCTAGAAGGCTGTCATGAGTATTGGGCATGAGCGTCAGAGCTCGCACGGCGTTTGGGCAAGGGATCAAAAGTTATCTGAGGTTTAAACATATGCCCCGACCATGGACATGGGCGGCGCTTAGGGATCCCATAGAATGGGTGCTGACACGGGCGGCTATTTAGCTGTACGAACGAATGATAGATGAATACAAGTGCTACAATTCATTAGCCTACTACAAAAATGTTCAGACACGCGTTCATGCCTGTAACCTTTTTCTCGCGGTCGTGACAGACCATCATGGTAATACGGTAGCCCCGGAGAGAGGGAGAGCGGTGTGTTGCGAGGTAGGCAGGCACACACCTCAAGCAGCAAAAGGCTGCGAATCCGACTAGACTTTCAAAGCCCAACAGCCTGATCAGGAAGCTCCCATATGATACGAGCAGGTTTAGCGGATCGCTCATTGGCCCAGCTGACCTTGCCATGTGTTGTTGTGATGAGACACGTCCTCCGTCTCGCTTGAGAGTTTAAAGTGCGAGCTTCCCCCGCCCGTTCTGACCTCGACCCTCCCACTTTCTACAACACCAATCTTGTCGCGTCCGCACACCACACCCAGGATACTGTCGCCGATAGCTGTGAGTAAGTCGCCTCCTTCCTTTCCTTCCGTTTCTGTACTTATGAAGCGCAAATATCTGTGCGATCGCCTGCTTTTTTGCGCTTCCACGAGCCACGTCGGCGGCATGGCAGCAGGACTTCGCGCGCGTTTTGCACAACGCGCTTTTTCTGCCTTCTTCTTGTGTATTTCTTGATCGCCTGCGTCTCCTCAATATGTTTCTTCACTTTTGATAGCATAGCTTCTTGGGAAGCCTCGCATCTCGCGCACTGCTTCCAAATTACGCGGCACGCGTACTAACCTGTCATCCAGCTTCGACTCACCACTCCACGCACTACAATAACACTCAAAACTACTCGAAACCTTCAGAACAAGCAAGATGGCCGCTACTACACGCGCGAGAACTGGTAAGCTTTCCCCCTTCTTCCACAAGCTCGGCACACGCATACAGCCCTGCACTGCCCCAACCACGCCTCCATACGCGAACACCTCTTCTCAGCCAAGCAGCAAAACACTAACCTCTTCCCAAAGGCAACTCCAAGCCCCGTCTCGTCCAGCAAATCGAAAACGCTGTCGCGCCCACAAAACGCAGCACGACCACCAAAGCCAACACATCCAAGCCCCGCACCAGCAAAGTAGCCTCTGGCCGCGTCACCAAGCCCAAAGCCACCACGACGACTACCACTACTAAGAAGACGACTACGACTAAGCCTAAGGCCGCTGCTGCACCAAAGAAGACAACCGGCCCCAACGTCAAGACAGTCAAGAAGCCGAGGACCAAGACGGAGAAGGTTGTTGATAAGGTTGTTGGAAAGGCCGAGAAGATTGTTGGTGATGTGGAGGGTAAGCCGGGAAAGGAGGTAAATTATCCCCCGTATTTGTTAATCAGAGACACGTCAGCTAATGCTCCTTTTCTTTCCAGGCCGCAGGCACCGCCAAAGCACGAGGCACAGACTCGACGACCAAGCGCGCCGCACCGCGGACTCGGGGCGTAAAGGCCTAAGAACAAGAAGCTCTTTATGCGTTCTGCTGTGTACAACATGCTCGGGGCGTAGGCATCGGTTCATCTGTTGTGCACCCGCTTTGCTTGCGTCATGACATGCCACCGTGTCCAGCACGAAGAGGACAGGGTGTATTGGTATCGCCTCTGTTTCGCTCATTTCTTACGAGTCACGATGAGCCCGTTTCTTTTCTTTCGTTTCCTCCACTGTTGCTGTTCGGAAAGTGTATGATAAGATACCCAGGCGTTTTTGATACGACTTGTTAATTAGACAATGAGGGTTGGTACTATACAATGTTTTCCGGAGACTGAGGATGATCTTGGGCTCCTGTGACATTGAGAGGTGCCATGTTTGCTTCACGATAAGACGACGTGATGCTGACAGATAGCTAAAGAATAGATGCAAGTATGTCCAGGAGACTTCATGGTATTAACAGCAGGGTGGTGTATCTCGACGGGTATACTAGACAACGACAGTACATGGCAAAGCAATAAGCTAAGCAGACTAAACAGAGCAAGAGAGCGACATGCAAATCGGAGAAACGCGAACGCTCGTACATTGTCAACCTCCAATGCTTCCTACACGCATCCCCCATCCACACCCTCACCCTATCTGAAGACGACCTTAATCTCCTTGGCCGGCTGCAACACAATATCCGCATGCATCCCCGGATCCGCCCCACCCATCTTGTTCTCCACCGTCTGAAACCTCTGGAACAATCTGACAAGCGTATATCCCATCTCGGTAAGCGCAAACTGCTGGCCAATACAGATCCTAGGTCCACCATTGAATGGCACATATGTCCACGTTTTCGGGTTCCAGTTGTCCCATCGATCGGGCGCGAAGACCGAGGGCGGAGGGAAGGAAGCGGACGTGGGCGGGTACAAGTCTTCGCGGCGCTGCATGACGAGCGTTGAGTAGCCAATTGGTGTGCCGGCGAGGATGCCGATGGGTTGGGTGCCGTCGGGCCCGCCGCCTACGGGAAGCGTGGTGTCTTTGAGCGCGAGACGGATGTTGTATGGGACGACGGGGTAGAGGCGCAGGGTTTCGTTCAGGATGTGTTGCAGGTATTTCATGTTCTTCAAGTCTTCGTAGGTGGGCTGGCGCTCGGGACCGACTGTCTGGAGAATCTCCTGGCGTAGCTTGGCGAGTATGGTTGGGTCGATGGATAGGTGGTAGATTACCCATGTTAGGGTGCACGCGGTTGTGTCGCGGCCTGCTAGGAGGACGGAGACGAGTTGGTCGCGGAGCATGTCTCGGTCGCGTGTGTATCCTGCGATCGCGTGGAGGAATGTGTAGCCTTCGTCGTGGTTTGTCTTCTTCTCGAGTTCTTCTGGGGAGAGCGCAAGGGCTCGGTCGATGAAGGGGTTGACGAAGTCGTTGATGATCTTGATCGAGTCGTAGAAGCCCAGGTATTTGCGAGGTATAAGCCAATTTAGAGGTCTATGTGGTGTTAGTGACAAGCTTGATGTGTTGGAGCAAGTCTACGTACCCGATCTTAGACACAAAGCTCTGTATACGCTGAGCGTTGTAGAACGCGTCCGCGAAGACCGTTTGTGGCTCGTCCAGACTGCCTACACTCTGGCCCAGGAGGAAATGTGTAGCGGCATCCAATGTGTACCTGAACATCATATCAAGCGTATCGATCTCCTCACTCTCGGCGATCTTGGACATGAGGATTTGGGTGTGCTGTTCGAAGATGTCGATGTCGCTGAGGCGGTCCTTGACGAATTGCGGTCGGATCAGCTGGCGTGAGTTGTGCCATAGTTGCCCGTCGGTAGTGAAGATACCTATGCGAAAGTCAGTAACCGTCCATTCATTTGGTCTGATGCGGCGTAGTTGCCCTAGGACCCCACTCTCTGGTGTACGTACCGTTGCCCAAGAAGGTGTGCCAGTCTTTCCTGAACTGCTCTCCCTTGCCGTAGTCCTTGAATTGTGTCGCAAGAATAGCCTTGATGTTCTCGGGGTCTGCGGTCAGAACCACGCGCTCGCCAACGCCAGCCTCAATTGTGTATCGCCCTGGACCGCACCACTTGTTGAACATGGCAACCCATAGCTCGTACGACTTGTCTTTCAGAGCATGGGTGACAACTTCGTATGCCATGTCAACGCCATACGGGAAGTATGTCTTTCGGACTGGCGCTCGCGCGCCCAGCTTGCGAATTCGCGCATCGGTGTTGATCTGCTGGACGAGCCTGTAGCCGATGTACAAGACAACTGCAGCGCCGAGGAGGTAGGGAGTCGAGAAATAGTTCGTCATGTCCGTGAGCTCGGTCGCGATTGGCGACTGTGCGTCTAAGACGGATGGCGCTTCGCAGGGTATTAGCACCGCATATATGGTGGCATTCACATGGAAGAGAATGCGCTATGAACGCCGAGTGGACTACCGGCGGGTAATCGACCTACCCTAAAGTTCTCGGATCGACAAGAAAGCCGAGTTTTGACAGCTGCCTGGCGACGTGAAGAGCATTGGCGCCGCAATGCTAAACTTTCTTCATAGCACACGAGCTTGCTGCCTCCCGTCGTGGTGCAATCAGAGCGTCGTGTGCTCTTGGGACACCTCGGCTTGATATCTGAAAGCCCCCGTGCCGCAAGACTCGCAATTTTCGACGTAAAGGGAGCAATGCTAAGGGCTCGCGTAGCTGTCGTGCGCTCATGCGCATCCCTGATGCCCTGCAAAAGCGGGGAAGAGCGATCGAGATAGCTGGACCATGTGGGGATGGTGGGAGCATCGTGGCCGCTCGGACGAATTCTGGAAGACTTGGGGCTCCGACCACCTTGCTGTTGTCATACTGGACAGCATACAAAGCAGGAGACGGTACATTCGTGACTGGCGAAGATTCAGCTACTTGCTTGCGGGAAAACATGCGACGCGTATACCTCCTGTCATCTTGTCGCTGATCGCCCAATTTGCCGAGTCGGCTGCATCTTCCCGTCACCATCAACCCGCGGGCAACCCCAGAAGATCATGCGATATGGAGGGCGTGGCTCAGGTGGCACATTACAGCAGCTTGGAGCTTAAGTCGGAGCTGATAAAGTTTCGACGAAGAGGAGGCTGACAGCTGAACGCCCGCACGTCATCGTACCTATTGCTCGATTCCACGGTTTGCCCCACTTCAGGGATAGCTCGCTTTTGTAGAACTCTCCGGTGCTCGTTCAAGCATTGCGATACAACCACAAGGTTACAAACTGCTTACCTCAGACCGAGTCTGAATATTCTACTGGCATCGATATATTATCAACCGTTGCAACTGCCGGGAACACCGCAGGAGCTTACGCCTCGAGAAACCATTCGGAGCATCCGGATCGGGCCTACATAGGTATAATGCCTTGCGCCAGTTTTCGCTCTTATACATAGATTACTATCCACCCGCCTCTTCTCTCCTATTCAACGATCTTTTGATTCTTCCAATCTTGATTCGGTCTCTTTGCATCATGAAGCCTCTTACATGTACTACACTATCTCTTCTCATATCCTCAGTAGCAGCCATTTGGCCTGTACCTGTCTCCCATGATTATGGCGATGCTGTTCTTTTCATTAAACAAGATGTACCATTCTATTGGTACGAACCTGGCGCAAGAAATGTAGGCTCAATTCTGGATCAGATCCCTTTTCTCTTCGGGTTCAATTCTAATCAAGTTCCATACACACAGGACAGCAGCAACCTGAAATTGCGCACGCAATACACGGGGCCGGTACCTAGCGAAAAGTCCGAAACAGCCACGGGAGAAGGCATCACCAGCGACGACATTGTTGTGTACGCTATCAATTCTACATGGGCAACACTCTTTCAAACCAACTTTTACCCATGGAAGTTTTACCCTAGAGACTGGGATGAGCCGTCTCCAAGCCAGTCGAATACGTCATACATCTCTCGCGTCGACGTCAAAGTGCTCAAAACCGCCGACTCTAATGTCACCAAGCCACTAGCTGGGGAGGTTGACGAGTCCTATCGTCTGACCTTGACAAAAGAGGGGGTTGCAAGCATCAGCGCAAACACCAGCGTAGGGATAGCAAGAGGCTTGACAACATTCTCTCAGCTGTTCTACGCACACTCCGATCAGCAACATGTGTACACTCCCCTGGCACCCGTGCAAATCACCGACAGTCCAAAATTTCAACATCGCGGTATCAATCTCGATGTGTCACGCAACTATTTCTCCACAGCCGACATCAAACGACAGATCGACGCTGCTGCCTACAATAAGATGAACCGCTTCCACCTTCACGTGACAGACAGCCAGTCCTGGCCCCTGGAAATCCCCTCCATGCCCGAGCTATCCGCCAAGGGTGCATACCGACCCGATCTAGTCTACACAGCCGACGACTTCGCAATGATACAACGCTACGCCGCGATCCAAGGCGTGGAAATGATCACCGAAATCGACATGCCAGGCCACACCTCCAGCATCCACTACAGTATGCCAGAGCTAATAGCTGCGTTTGGCATACAGCCAGACTGGAACACATACGCCGCCTCTCCACCCTCTGGCACATTGAAACTGAACTCGCCCGCTGTCTACGATTTCCTAGAGAAGCTCTTCGATGATGTACTACCTAGAGTGTCTCCGTACTCGACGTACTTCCACACTGGTGGTGATGAAGTGAACAAGAACGCGTATTTGTTTGATGACACGGTCAAGAGCAATGATTCGGCGATCCTGCAACCGCTCATGCAGAAGTTTGTTGATCGGAACCATGACCAGGTACGCGCCATGGGACTTACACCTGTGGTGTGGGAAGAGATGCTGCTGGAATGGAACCTAACACTCGGTTCCGATGTACTCGTGCAATCGTGGCAGAGCGACGAAGCAGTTGCTCAGATTGTGTCAAAGGGACATAAAGCTATAGTTGGGAACTACAACTACTGGGTAAGCCGAAACCTTTTCCTCTCCCTCCCTCATTTTATCCCAGGAAACGGCCATTTTGCGTTGTGCTATACTAACAAACCTCAAACAGTACCTCGACTGCGGCAAAGGCCAATGGCTAAACTTCTACCCCTCCGTCAGCGCGAATTACTACCCCTACCAAGACTACTGCGCCCCCTTCCACAACTGGCGACTAATCTACTCGTACGACCCGTTACACGGCGTCCCTGCCGAGAACCAGCATCTCGTCATCGGCGGCGAAGCGCACATGTGGGCCGAGCAAACCGATCCCGTTAATGTCGATAGGATGATCTGGCCTCGTGCTGCGGCTGCGGCGGAGGTATTGTGGTCGGGTGCCAAGGACGAGATGGGTCAGAACAGGAGTCAGATTGATGCGGCGCCTCGGTTGAGTGAGATGAGAGAGAGGTTAGTGGCGAAGGGGATTGGGGCGGAGCCGATTCAGATGCCGTATTGTACTATGGAGGGGAATGTATGTTCGTTGGGTAATCTTGGTTAAGGTAGCATGTGGGGTGTGGAATCTTGGAGGGAGTATGGTAGCGGGTAGATATTGAGAACGTCGAGATGCGGCATACATATTCATTTCTTTCTTACCCAACGCCAGGCGCCCTACATGCCCTCATGTTCTTGGTGAACGGTATGTCATCAGAATTCCATGGCATCGGCGCCTTCCTCCCTTTCCCTCTTCAGCGCTGGTTTGTCCTCGTCCACTAGGCCCGCGACAAACCGTCGGAAGTAATCTACGTATGGCTTCAAGCTGGTCTTCTCCCAATCTTGTATCTTCTTGTCGGTTTCTTCGCCTGGCCAATCGTCGATCTCCTGGAGTAATTGCGTGACTGTTGGTACACTCAACGGATCAAAGTCCTCCACTGTCCTTGTGTCGATTGGAACACAGACGCGTCCAGTTCCGGGATGAATGACGAAAGGCGATTTGAGCAAATGATTGAGTTTCTTGGAGACTTCGGCATCGAGACGGGGGTATGTGTATTCTAGGATGATGTCTTGCTTGGCTTCGAGAAGGTCTTTGGGCGTCTTTGACAAGGCGCCAGATTTGGCTAACGCGTCAATGTCGGCCCATTTCGATGCGCTGGGGCGGGAGGGCGCAGAATCCCACTTCTTCTTTAGTGCTGCTCTGAGCGTGGGGTCTGGGATGAGGTCGAGGAGGTGCGCGGACTTTTCTTCCGCGGCCCAGGGATCTTGTTCAGCGAGGATGGAGGTCTGGAAGTGCTCTTTCAGGATAGCCAGACTACGCTCGAGATGAGGATGTAGAGGTCGTCGCGCGTTGACCTTCTTGCCGCCCTGGTCTCCTCCTTTGAGTAGTTCGAGATAGCCGGCTACGGAGCGGCGCTTTTGGTCGTCCATTTCTCGTGCGCGCTTGTCGCAAACCCAGGCGTGGGCTCCTCGACGACCAGAATACACCCAGAGGATATGTTTGAAGCCAAAGTCTTCCCGTAGAGCAACATCGATGGTCTTGATGGCCATTGTGATGAAGCCCCAGCACTTGAGACAGATGCTCGCACCCGTGCAACATGTTCTGATGTCGTCGTAATCCGTCATATCGATATCAAAGACCAGCTCTTTCATCAAAGGACGGAACGAGCTCGCTTTCCGCAGTGTTTTCCTATCTCTCGGGTTTGTGCTGTACATGGGACCGATTTCGAAACGAGAAGGCAGCATGTTTATGCATTGCTTCCGCAGGAGATCGGCTGTTGGGAAAGATTGATATCGTAGGTATGCGTCGTTGGGTAGGGTGAAGGCGAATTCGCGGTGTGCAAAGTCGTTGCTGGGTGTTGCGGAATGGTTGAGCCATTGGAAAAGGGGACGGAAGGGGAACAGGCGTTGGTAGAATGCGCGCATGACGTCTGAGTCGGAGAAGGAGGATTTCGATGTGATCTTGCTGTATCGGTGTCAGCAAGTGTTATGAATACATTGTGTTGGTAGGTGGGGCGTACATTGGTGCGGGTTGCGAGGCATCCTCCTGCGACGTAGGTGCTGGCGCGCTCGAAGGAAACTCTTCGTCTGAATCCTCATCGTCGAAGAGCTCCTCGAGGTTTACCTTGGGCTTCTCTACCGCGGCGGCTGTGGGTGCGTCTTCCATTGCAACATCTTGCGTCTCCGGCTCGGGTTTGATAGCATCCGTCTGGGACACTGTCGCTGAGGACTCCGCTGCGGGCGTCGATTCCGGCGTAACTGAGTGCGGCATCTCGGAAGTCATGCGATTGGATTTGGAGGTGTATGTTGTGAGGACGCGGATGCTGGGGGTGAAGGAGTTGGCCGACGCGTTCGCGTATAGTGGTCGCGGGCGCGTTTGGGCTGCAGGGATACCCTTGTCCGCCGTCCCTCGTTCCTTCCCCATCCGTGTAACCATCGCTCGTCATATCGCGTCAAGTCGAGCAAACATTCTCCACATTGCTCAAACCCCACCTGGGCAGGGCATGAACTGCGACAGTACTCACAGTGCGGAAGATGGCGGAGGAGGATACTGTGTCCGGAGAAGGGTGGATCTCAGATGATAGCAGTTTCTATGGTAAGTTTGAACACCTCCAGCTCATCTCCATATGTGACTGACGGTGGATTTAGGTGACGAGGATGAAAAACAACACCAATCAAAAAAGTGTGAAAGCTTCAAGACCGGGCCTTTCTGGCGCGCACATGCTAAAGACCTGAACACAATCGCGGCTGCTGCAAGAACATCAGCACCACCATCAGATGGAGCTGTGTCAGACAAGCAACCTGCGGTAAAGGCTAATACCTTCGACATGTCGGGTCTCGATCGCCAAGCTATGGAGCAGGAGCGATTGGCAAGACAAGGCAAGCGGAAGCGAGAGCCCTCGCCCGTGCCAGCCTCGAACCTTGAACTGTTCAATCCTTTGGAAGGACAAGATGATGCGTGGCAGCTAGGCGAGCCTGTTGATGACTTTGTCAGGCGACTTCCTCCATATACAACCTCCATCTCTACATGTCCCTGGATCTGGGCTGCTAATCCGTATCGCAACCCTCGCGACAAGTCACCTTCGCCACGTGTTCAAGACTTTACATCGCGTGGCACGGAGTTGCTTCAACAGTCGCTCCAGACCCGCCGCGACATCCAGAAAGAAGGCGCGAAGGGGCCTAGGGGTATGGTCACTAAACAGCTCCTCCAAGAGAGCAAAGCTCTACAAGAACGGATCTCAGACCTTGCAAAGGACACGCATGTTCTGTCCGGAAAGGCAAGTTCCATTAGCTGCCCGATCATTCACTTCTTCCGATCACTAACTGGTGTTAGTGGATGTTGTTCCCCAAAGCTGTGGAAGTTGCTCGGGTCTGGAAGCAAGTTGTCGCGAATGTGATCGATAATCGACTTGGCTGTACCTGCAAGGTGGCCACAGACGACGGCAAGGACGAGCGACTAAGTAAGTTTGACGTACGACAGGTAGTGCACAACTACTGACGAAATACCCTCCATAGTCTGTGTCTACACAAAGGACTTCCTGGACGCTGACGATGTACTGCGAGTACTCCATGAGCTTGAGACCATGGGTCTCATCAACGTCGGCAGGACCATTTACTACAAACCAGACGCCTACACTTATCTGGATCTCAGACGCGAGACGGCTGCAGAATATGGACTCCAAGCCAGTCTTTACAACTCACGAACTCTGTTGGCAGCTAACAAAGTGTCGAAGCCATCCTCGTTCCCGCAGAAGAAGCAGTTAACGCTGAAGAAGTGAGGTTGGGTGTACATCATTAGCTGCTAGGCTGCTTGGGGACGGGGTCATCATATTCAGCTAGCGAAGCTCTCAAAGAAGCTACAGGTGTTGCTGGCCCTCCCTCATAAGTCACACAATACCAGCTTACCAATATTCGTTGAACCGCTTTGAGCTGATCTTCCCACTTGCCTGCCGTTCTGAATGTGGCAGCCAGTGCATGAATATTACAGGCACCGTTCACAGACAAACAAGTACGCGTCAGACATGCAGTTATGCCTGTCGACGCTGATCACCGAGCCGCTGTCGGACGCACGTCAATCAAGAAAAGAACTGAACGGGTCTGCAGCCTACATCAACATAAAAACCTACAAGATAGGTGACCTGGCGTCGATGTAGGCTTTAGGCCTGTTTAGTTTTTATCTGGTATGAGGTGGACGCAGCAGCCCGTTTGACATGCCGGCTAGGACCATTGCGTACCATGCTGAGCAACAGGCCTTGAATCACCCGGGCAAACGTAAGCAAAACTTGTCTTCGGCGTTGAAGCGCAGCTGCAGGGTCCTTACCGCTACTCCGAGTACACTGAGTTGCCCGTAGGCGCACGCAGCCAATGTAGAGACAGTTCGGCCCATCGTGCCTGCAGAGCCTGCCGGTGGCCAGAGCGAGTCGAGAGCAGCGATCGTCTTTGCGACGTCCGTCGTGTTGGCGCGCTACTGAAAATTCCAGAAACCGAGAGGCGTCGAGTTTTCGTTACTCGATAGTTACCCTGAGGACAGGGCTTCAGTGCCGTAGTTCGCCGCTTGCGATAGACGACTCACACTGACGATCATAGCATGACAGAACATCGGACCCCCCCGAAACCACAGTATGACCGTCTCTTCACATCTATACATATCCTCGCATTTCGAGGTCTCAGTAAAATGTCCAGGTGTAGTCGCGCTTGCTTGGACGAAGTAGGTAGAAGAACGGCACCAGCATGACCCGGGCGCGTTCGGGTTCTCGGTTGATAATATGGCTGTCGGCCAGCCCCGAACAGTCAGGGCGTTCGCATTGGACTAGTCAACGGCTGGCCTCAGTCTTCGGCGCATCGTATTTCCTTTACTCGATTTCTATCGAGTAATGGGAAGGTCGTGTTGGGAGGTACGCTGGCTGACATATGCTTAGCTTCTCCGATGGAATCGGGCCTTACTCCGATGTCTTCGAACTCGCACCTTCTATGTCAACGAGCGTTTCATGACAAGAGTGTGTTTCCATCTCCAATCTTTACGCAAACCGTGAAGAAAGCAGTGAATAAAATATCACAGAGGCCCTGGGTCCCAGATTCTAGAAGTATGACGCTCCGCCGTTGACCCTGCGCTAGTCTGAGGGCTCTAATCGCGCGATCTACTGTGCGCCTATCGCGTGCAGCAATACCCTTGCAGCTGCTTATCAGTAACACATGCACGTCCCCCAACACCATCCACAACGTGCAGCAACACGTTTAGGAAGTTTACCGATTCCAACGCTCTACCCAGTCTTCGGAAAATTAATCTTCGAGCAACGATGACTGAGAAACAGCTCATGATGCGCGCCCAATATAGACAGCAAATATCTCACATGCCCGATCTTGAGAGAGCATACAGTACCGGGGCGAATAGCCTCGTATCTACACTAAACCGACCAACGGGAGACAGGGTCGAGATGCATGGCTAAGGCGGCCGCGATAGACTACCTCCACCCTAGTTACTCGATAGAATCGAGCAACGTGTATTCCAGGGTTCGCCGATGCTCCACAGTCCCCTGACGCCATGTTAGTTGACCCATATTCTGGCTACAATGCCCCGAGAGGATCTTTGGGCTGGCCCATACCAACGGGTAGATAAGAACCTGTACCCCAGGTTTTGGCGTTTTTGATAACGACTTACTGAGCGCATCTCTTCTCTCAAACGTCTTCTCTGTTTGAAAGTACCGCTTGGCCAACTTTCAGCAAGATACAACCTACTTTCCTCTTTGACATCTGTTAGGCGCAACACCAAACGTGCCTTATCAACGCTTATCTGCAGCTCACCCGGAGACGCCCACCTTCTTCCCCGCGTTTGCCGAGTTCGGGGCTTGTTCCTGTATATAGCTCTTGCTGTTAGCACGGAGCTGAGCACTTTCAGACTTCTTTGCGCACTCTTTTCTTCTCTTCGTCTTCTCACAGTCGATTACATTTCCAACTTGGCATCATGGCACCCCACGCAACTACGCCTCCACCCGTCTCCCACGAGCAACCCGTTCAAGCCATCACAGTTCTTGCCTCATCAAGAGCAGTTGTTGCTGGTCGGTTGACTGAGGCTACCATCGTTGTATCAAACCTCACAGGAAAGATCACTTCCATCTTCCACTCAGTACTTCCTCCTACAGACTTCCCTGAGGGCACCCCCTACACCGACTACTCGCCACACATCCTACTACCTGGCCTAGTTGATGCCCATGTTCACCTCAACGAGCCTGGTCGGACGGAGTGGGAAGGTTTCTGGACTGGTACCCGAGCTGCAGCATTCGGCGGTGTCACAACTGTCATTGACATGCCCTTGAACGCTATACCTCCTACAACTACTGTTGAGAACCTCAAGATCAAATGCGAAGCATCACATGGAAAGTGCTGGGTTGATGTAGGCTTCTACGGTGGCATCATTCCCGGTAACTCAGGAGACCTCAAGGCTTTAGTCAAGGAGGGTGTTCGGGGCTTCAAGGGTTTCCTGTGCGACAGTGGAGTGAGCATATTTACCTCAGCACCCTAGCACGTGACACTAACCACTCCCTAGGTCGACGAATTCCCCGCCGTCTCATCCCTCGACATCGAAAAGGCACTCCTAGAACTCAAAGACGCAACAACAACACTGATGTTCCACGCCGAAATGATCCCACCCATCACCGACTCTGTAGGTGACGACGTGCAACAATCCCTTCCTCCACTCGCCCCCAAAGGCCCATTAACTTCGTACGACACATTCCTGCAATCCCGCCCGCCATCCTTCGAAACCTGCGCCGTAGCCGAAATCCTCTCGCTAGCCCATCTCGCCCCGGACCTGCAACTCCACATCGTGCACCTCTCTGCCATAGAAGCCATCCCCATGCTACGTAAAGCGCGCGCCGACGGCATCAAAATCACAGCAGAAACATGTTTCCACTACCTCGCCCTCGCATCAGAAGGTATCCAAGAAGGCGACACAAGACATAAATGCTGCCCACCTATCCGCTCCCAGTCTAACCAAGATGGTCTCTGGGAGGAACTGCTCCAAGACACGGCTGATGGTGTAATTCAAACAGTCGTCTCAGACCACTCGCCTTGCACGCCTGAAATCAAACTCTTACCTCCGCATCTAGCACCTAAGAAAACGGGTGAGAGCAGCGAGACCGAAGTCCAAGGACCAGAAGGAAAAGGCGATTTCTTCAGCGCTTGGGGCGGCATCTCAAGCGTGGGCCTCGGTCTACCTATCCTGTGGACCGAAGGCACAAAGCGCAATCCCGACTTCAGCGTCGAGGAAATCGTACGCTGGTGCTGTAGGAATACGGCGAAGCAGGTTGGGCTGGAGAAGAGCAAGGGCGATATCAGTGTGGGTTTTGATGCTGATATTGTTGTCTTTGACGATGAGGCTGAGTTCTTGGTATGCGATTTCCAATCTTTTCTTCCCTCCCTCTATTTACGGATGGGCTGTGGGCTAACGGTAATGCAGGTCGAACCAAACACCATGCTCTTCCGCAACAAGGTCTCGCCGTATGAGAACAAGACGCTCAAGGGTGTTGTGAGGGAGACTTGGCTACGCGGTCAACGCGTGTTCTCGAGGACGGAAGGGTTTCAAGAGAAATCTGGACCGCAGGGTAAGTTGCTGCTTGAGCCGCGTAAGATGAGCGTATAGGTTGAGAAGGACGGGGGATTTGCTTTGGTTGTCATGGAGGGTAAGGTGCATATATATGGTTGGGATACGCTGCATAGAGCATGTAGCGTCTGACATGTTTTCTTTCCCTGCTGCATAGATGGAGTTCTTCTTTTGGTTACGAATTGCATAGAAGATATTTACAATCTGAATATGAACCTGCGTACAAAGTCCGTGCTTCTGCTTGTTTTCCTCACAAGTCATGAGCCAAACGCCGTATACAGAGCACCGGCTGCTTTCGCAATAAGCAATACCATACAGTATTCCATGCCAGCTAACAAACAACACACCGAGAACAACGGGTTTATCAAGTACAGCGTATAGTACACATCCTCCAACCCACATGTGTGCACGTTTCTTGGTCTGATACCAGGCCCCTGGAGAATGGTTTACAAGTATTTCTTGGGCGCACCACCTCGCCTCTTCTTGTACACGATATAAGCACCTGTGATCATAATCTGAACAGCAACCGCGATGAAGAAGAAGGTCATTAGGCTGGGTCCGTGGCTGCCAACAACTGTGATACCAAGTTAGCTTTACTACTCTCTCAAAACGCACCGGATAGAGAAGTATCACTTACCATCACCCATCATACCAGGCAAACTCGACATGACGTGTCCGTGGTTCCTGTCCAGGGCGTGATGAATTTGCTGCATCATGTCCTTGTAATCCTTGTTCTCGATGTCTCGCAGTATCTGCATAGTCGTGCGCTCAACCTTTTCCATGTTGCGGATTGTGGCCGCGGCGCGGTCATCCATGGGCACAATGCGACGATGGAGTTCCTCCCAGCGCTCCATGTTCTCCTTGTGGATGAGTGTAACGGTTTCTGCGATTTCATAGACGCGGTTGTTGATGATTTGGATGCGGTTGTGGAGGTCGGCGAATTGGTCTTGTTGCGAGCGGATGTTGCCTGCTAGGACATCTTCGAGCATCTTGGGGATGTCTTGCTGGGAGGTGGAGGAACCGTAGTTCTGCTGCCCTTGGTTCTGCTTGTGCGTCTGCTGCTCGTGGCCTTGTTGGGCGGCGAGGTTTTGCTGTTGTTGGTGTTGTTGCTGGGAGTTGATGTAGTCCTTCTTGCTCAAGTTGGGCTCTTCGCGCGTGTACGAGTTGGTGGTAGAGACGACGAACTTGTGGACTTCGAAGGAGTCGGGGTTCTCGGCGGAGGAGGCGCTTACACCGAAGTAGTAGCCTTCAGGGAGATCGACCTAGAGGGATAGTTAGTGGTGTGTATCTGAGCGCGTGGGTTTGAGAGCATACCTTGTTGGTCTTGAAGCAGGTTTCCCCGTCTACAATGACTTCTAGGAAACCCTCTGCGTGGTGCAATTTGATAGGAGTAAGCTCTCCACGGTTCCTGTATGCGTAATCGCATCTGCCAAAGGCCAATGTGTCAGGGTCAGGGTGAGCCCTGATGTCCTTGGTCCCGTCGTTCAGGAAACCGCGAACAGAGCCGCCGTGTCCTTCATACTGGTCTATGACGAGTACCAGTCCGTCAAACTTGGGAGCCGTGTACAGGCTCGCCGGTGTCTCCCGCGCTTGTGAGTCCTTGATGTACCACAACTGCAGGTTACCACCTCCACGCTCCATGCCAGTCGCTCTGAAGTCCAACTCGGCCGTCCAGTCGCCGCTGTGGTGTAGGGGGTCCTGCGCCCATATCGAACCACGCTTGCCTCCAGGGTAGGGAGGTGTGAGGATAATTCTGTCGGAAAGAATCTGGGGTACATAGTCGTCTGAGCCCTGGATGACGAAGTGAGGGACTGTCGTGTAATCGGGCGAGATTTGTTGGCCAGCTTTCTGGCCAAAGCTGAGGTTGTCTATGACATATTGGGCGTGCGCTGTGGAGAGAGCGAGGGTCGACCAGGCAATGGTCCGCAGCGATTGCGGTGTGATGCGCATGTTGGAGGGGCGCAATGCGGTGCTCGGGTTGACGATGAGGTCCGACTCAGGGTGCAATTGGTTGCTCGACTATACTCGGACGTAGTCTATCTATCTGGAGTCTTGTCAGAGGGCTGTCGAATTGGAGCTAAAGCAGTAAACCAACGTACCTCCTGCCTGGCTGATAGTAGCTTCACCTGCGTCGCAATGGTTCACGCGACGGTCGCAAGTCAATTAATCGAGAGTGAAAGAAACAATCGGGTATCACGAAACGATGGCAATGCACAAGAAAAGAAGAACCGCCGCCAGATGGGCAGGAACGAAACCGAATGGAGATGGGGGAGCTTATGGACAGCTGTGCTTAAGACGGGTCTACCTACGACATTGATTGGGTGGTCTATGCGCCGAGATACTGCGACAACTCTGGTAAGCCACCATCTAAGATGAGACGTCAAGCCCGCGAGGACATTCGACCTGTGGGTACGACAGTGATGGAATGTTTCAAGCGATGCACGAATGACCGAGAATATAGTCGCAAAAGGGTCTAGCCACCGCGATACAGCAATGCGGAGGTTTGCTTGGCGGTTCGGTGCGGTCGGGAGTCGTGATTGGCCGACTACCATTTTCTCATCGTCGACTACCTCATGACCGAGCTGCATCCGCCATCGTCGCCGCCTACACGTCTCACGCACCCCACGCCAACCCCTCACCCTCACGGCCAACATGTCTGCACCGGATCCCAAGGAAGCCTGGGCGCGCATCCAGAATGAGCTCACTCGACGCGGTTCTCGATTCGGCGGCGCGGGCGGCGGCGGACCACCGAAGGGCCTCTTTGGAGGTCTTGGAGGTCTGGTACTAGTTGGTGGTGGAATCTGGATGGCGAACAATGCTCTGTTCAACGGTACGTCTTCTTCAAAGAGCTCTCTCCTAGGGCCTTCCAATGGCCACAATACGAATGATGCTGACTTGCGACAGTCGACGGTGGTCACCGAGCAATCAAGTACACCCGAGTAGGCGGCGTCCAGAAGGAAATCTACAGCGAAGGAACCCACTTCCGCATTCCCTGGTTCGAGACCCCCATCACCTACGATGTGCGCGCCAAACCCCGAAACGTCGCCTCCCTCACCGGCACCAAGGACTTGCAGATGGTCAACATAACCTGCCGTGTACTGTCAAGACCGCGGGTTGAATCTCTGCCGCAGATCTACAGGACACTGGGCACCGACTACGATGAGCGTGTTCTGCCATCCATCGTCAACGAGGTTCTCAAGAGCGTCGTGGCGCAGTTCAATGCCAGTCAGCTCATCACACAGCGTGAGAACGTCAGTAGGCTGGTACGCGACAACTTGGTCCGAAGAGCAGCGAGGTTCAACATCATGCTCGACGATGTCTCTCTAACAGTAAGTTGCCGCCCACCTGTTCTTACCCCACCATGGTCTAACACTAAATAGCACCTCGCCTTCTCCCCCGAGTTCACCGCCGCAGTCGAAGCCAAGCAAGTCGCACAGCAAGAGGCCCAGCGTGCCGCCTTCGTCGTCGACAAAGCCCGCCAGGAGAAGCAAGCCACAGTCGTCCGCGCCCAGGGTGAGGCCCGATCTGCCGAGCTTATTGGTGACGCCATCAAGAAGAGCAGGAGTTACGTTGATCTAAGGGAGTTCGAGAACGCAAGGAATATCGCACAGATTCTGCAACAGAGCGCAAACAAGGTCTACCTCGACAGCAGGGGTCTTGGTTTGGACATCAGCCAAACCACAGCGGATAAGGAGCAGAGGGCGAACAGGAAGTAAGAAGATGAGGCGAAATGCGTCTCTGAGGAAATACTATTCGAAGACAACGCCATGTATAAATATCTCTGGGAAAAGCGAGGTGCAAGCGTGCAATTGTGTAGCTTTCCACTCATGACTGAATAACAACAAAGTACTCCAACTCAACCCGGCTGTCCTCATGGTACGAGAGGTGTATGCAATGGGCCAGGCATACCACTCAAAAATGACATGAAGAGGATGGAAGCAAGAATGTGTCGAAAGGGTAATCGTATTAATGCGCAAGTACTACATAGGGGTATCACTCTTCGCTCTTCCTCTTCTTCTCCGCATGTTCGTCCTCATCTCCACCAGCAAGCTCAGTTCCATCTTCACCAACCTCACTCTCAACCTCGTCCACAGCCCTCTTTCTCTTCTCCGTCCTCGTAACCTCCTCACCAGCCGACTTCTCCGTAACAAACAACGTACTAGCCGTCTCCTTGACACTACTACTACTCTGCTCACTCACCCCCTGCTCCACCACCGCCTCTCCATCCTCCTCCTCATCAACCAACCCCAGATCCGCCGTATTCTTATCCGGATCCTCGAGCGCAGCCTGAATCTTCTCAAGCCCCATATCGTCTCCCTCAAGCGTCTCACTGATATCAGGATCCACCCAGCCCTCCGTGTAGCTGCCTCCAAAATCAATGATCCAAAGCTCGTCATTCGCGTCGACCATGAAGTTGTCTGCTTTCGCATCACCCCAAATGATACCATTGTCGTGAAGCAATGACACATACGCCGCGCTCTTTTCACTCCAAACACGCCTCTTCTCTTCGTCCACCGACGACCTGAGCAACTTGGTCAACGGCGTTGGCGCATCGATGTTCTCTAACAACAAGCCCATGACTTCTGTCTTGCTATTGCCCTGAGCAACAAACCCGCGGAGGTGGGGAAACTTGATATCCAGATCTAGTTTCTCGATCTTGCGCAGGATCTGTATCTCACGCTTGACAGAGTCGGGTTGGTCGGCTACGACCGGTTTGAAGAAGTACGTCTCGTTTGTTTCTTTGTGGAGGACTTGGCCTGGGTGTGCGGGGGGTGGCATGCTAACTTCTGACTCGACGGTCAGATCGTTGGCGTTAAGCCAAGGGAGCTTGTAATCTTGCATGTATTTGGGGACTTTCATGCGGGGGACGAGGGCTTCGATTTGGGCTTCTAGGTCGGATGTTGTTTCCAAGAGTTCTGGTGAGAGTTCTCCGTTGGCGATTTGCAACGTGTAGAAGTATGTCGGTCCGTGGTACCATTCGTAGAGGGTGGATTCTTCGGGTTCGCGATTCGGTGGTGCGTAGGTGTTTGTGATTTCGGAGAAGGAGGCGAGGATCCAGTTTCGCAGTTCGACGCCTGCGCTCGCGGAGTCTTGATCGGCGTCTTCTCCTGCTTCTGAGACGTCGTCCTCCACATATTCGTCGTCAGAGTCGGCTGTGACGTCGATGCCGCTATCCTTTCCCTCTGAGCCCTGTCGGTCTTTGTTCTTGTTCTTCTTGCTCTTCACTTTGGCTTCTCGTTCTTCGGCTAGCTCCTCTTCGCGCTCGTCGGCTTCGCGAAGCGCAGATATCTTGTCGAGGTATTCATAGTAGAGAGGCTTTTCAGAGGACTTCTGAAGTACCTTGGGGTCGACAGTGACGTGGAAACGGACATCATTGATGAGAGCTGTGAGGGCACAACTATCGTCGTTGTCATAGGAAAAGTGTAGGGTATGCGCTTTAGTGGTAGTCTGAGCCATGGCTTCAAAGAGTGTGTAATTGGTGCTAGGAGTAGCGCCGAGAGTATGGATGTGGATGGCCTCTAACATGAACGACGGCACACTACATCTATACTGACATCGCAACAGCCCACAGACTCAAATCTATCCCTGCACCGACATCATCGCTATTCCGGATCGCCGACCTAATCGCATAGCAAATGCCATGCCACATCATAGGGGGCTTTGTCTGACCCATGCATCTACATCATAGATGTCGTCCTGATCTGCAGGTACGATCGAGACAGTGGAGAACGGCACCTTCGGGAGCCATTCTAAGTGGCTGGCAGGTGCTGGTGCGTCAATAGATCCGATCTGGAATCGACGTCAGGGTATCGATCTGAAACTGTATGAAATTGGAAAGGTTGGGGTGAAAGGGATCGGGGGCTGGCGCGTCGCGAACACGGGTGCGCGCGATCAGATGTCGTGACGTCAACTAATTGCCGTGACGACTTAGCGCTTCTGCGTTCCTGTGACGACCATCCCCAATTCGATAGATCAGATACATGATTTGCTTTTTGTCAGCTTGTTGGTTGACCAGGGAATCACATGTAAAGAATCTGTCTGGATAGTGATGTTTCAAGATGAAGTTATATTTGTCGATTGACAAGACGTCCAACATTGTCGCATTGCTACATAAACGCTCATCGTTCATATCGATGCATCGCTAGCAGAAATACTGCACTAGTTCTGACGTTCAATCGTCGAGATAGCCAAACCATATACGCCGTTTTGAAATAACAATTGTGCCTGCCAAAAGAGCGTGATCCCCACGTCGTGCGGCCCCTATAGTAACAAAAACCAGAAGCGAAACATGATCCTTTCCTAAGAATGATCTTAGATCCTGTCAAGATCTTGGAGAGCCTGCCCAGAAGTAAGAATTGAAAGCAATGCGTTGAACCATCTTCCAGAGATTTCGCAAACGCCGAGTCATTATACGTCGTAATCCATAACAGTTATCATACAGCCTCGCAGTGGCGTCGTCGCGTCGAGTAGGAATATTCATACGGTGAAGTCCAAAAGGTCGTAGGATGAGGAGTCCAATGAGGTAAAGTCGCCCATTGCCTTCATCTCAAGGTCGAACTGAGAGTATGAGGTGTCAGGCATGGTGTCGAACAACTCATCGAGAGCGTCTTTGGGCTCGATTGGCGATGTCGGTGGTGTTGTGAATTGATGAGACTGGACAGACGACCGTGATGGTGACGACGAAGCCTTCAGAGGGCTGGACTGGACTGGCGCGCTCGAACCGTTTGCGGACCCTGCGGAAGCGGGCCGCATGTCGGCGGGTGACATGGGAGGCGTATGCGAGTGTTGAGAGAGCTGTTGGAGGATGTTCATTGACGCAGCGTCGCTTGAGTAGTTGGCAGACGCAAAGCTCGATTGTGCGTCGTCTGCGAATGGGCTTGATGAGGCCTCAAAGCTATTACATGTATCAGTATTGTATTGGACAAAGTGTGGTTGAAGAACTAACCTGAAGGGATCCGCTGAAGCGTTCATGGAGTCGTAGCTTTGCGAGTCGGACAGAAGCTGGGGCATGTCCTGCGATTGAGCTGGTTCGTAGCCCTCGAGTGGTGATGGCGATCGGGCTTCTGAGTACGGCGAGCCAGCTGAGGATGGTGCTGCGGATGCTAGTGCCCGCGACCTGCTGGCCTTCTCGACACGCTGCTCCATGTCTGGACGATTCTTCTTCGGTCGGCCACGCTTGGCTTGTCGGCGGACTGCGTCAGGGAACCCACCGACACACATACCACGCTGACGGTGGCGCGTGAGGGCATCTTGTCGTGCGAACCCGGCGCCACATGGGCACTTGTAGGGCTTGTTGCCTGAGTGGATCTTTGCGTGGCGCTTCAGGTCATGCTGGCGAACAAAACACTTGCCGCATCCATTGCACTTGTATTGACGATCGCCAAGATGGGTTTGAACGTGCGATCGGATGTTTTCTCGTCGTCCGAAGACCTTGCCGCAACCATGGTAGAGGCAGGTCCACTTGCCAGTTGTGGTATCTTGTTCGCTGATGTAACGCGCAACTTCTTCAGGTGCGATGCCAGTGAACTCGAAGCTCGCGTCAACCTCAAGGTCGTTGAAGATCTGAGGCTGGGAGAATGAGTCCATGGGGAGTCCGTTGATCGACATTGAAGTTTGCGGTGTGGGCAACAGAGCTGGTGTGTGCGAAAACATCATCTCTTGGTGCTCTTCGATGTTCTCTAGGAAAGAGTGCATGTCTTTCTGCTGTTGCGGCGAAGAAACTGGCGATGGCGACAAAGCATCGGATGTGTAGTAAGAGGACGACTCGTAACCCATGTCGGCATCTGGGTTGTCAAAGTCGAAAGTCATGGCTCTGGAGGTTGGCTCGAGGTTGATGTCACCCATAGCAGTGAAGCTTGGGTGCTGAGTTGCGCCAAACGAATCATGGCTCGGTAGCTGCGCTGGCTTTTGCGGTGTCGCAGTGGGGGTTGGGAGGATGTTAATGAAGACTTGTCCACTTGAGCCATACACTGACTGTATGTGCTCGTGGAGTTCTTTCAGTTGCTGTGCAGTGGGGGGTTTAGAGGGGGATGAGGGAGGCTGCTGGGGAGACTGCGCACGGAGTGTCCGTCGTGGAGTCCGCGGTGTGATGGGAGAGATCTGTACTGGGGACGCCAAAAAGGAATCCTGGGGGCCCGGCTGGGGCTGTCTTAGCGGCTGCGCTACTTGCATAGATTGCTGTGGTATTTGTCCTAGATTGTTAGTATTACTTACCGTACTGTCCTCCTGCTGGAAGGTGGGTGTGTCGAAGGGTCCTGGTCGTTGGGTGTAGTCCTGGTGTTGGGCTTGTCGGGCGGCATGGATGGGGTCTAGGTTGAGGCCGCGTAGATCCAAGCTCATGCCGCTTCGGTTGCGTCGTTGTAGTTTAGCAGGTGGTGCTCGTACTGTGGGTGCGTCAAAAACAGCTGGTGTCGAAAGTTGTCGGCGGTGCTGAATCCGTTGGCGCTGGATGCCGGCTGGCATATTTGTGGACAGCATTTCGTATGCAGGTGGAGTCCGGAGTCGGTTCTGGAGGAGGGGGATAGTCCTGTGGTGTCCGAAACTGATATGTTGTTAGCAACTGATATCATGTGATGGCCCGACCACGATGAGATGGAAGCCTCGAGTTGAGAGAAAACGACTTACCTCACGCAGTGCAAGCGGCGCTCCGCCGGGCGGTTAGTATCCTTATGGAATCCTCAGTACAGATGCAGTCTCCCAGTAGCCTGCGTCAAGT